TTTATTTCATTGAGCCACGTCAAGATAAGAACCTCATAACGACTTCAACAACAACTTCAAGGCCCACCACCAGTGATCGCATTTTGCACAATGAATTATTATTATTTTTTTTAAAGTAAGGTATAAATAGCAATGATGAACCATTCTCTAATTCATTTTGATAAAGCCCCAATCAGAGGATGCGTGGTTTCCTATCCTCATTATTTATAAACCTGAAATTATATTTAATCGCATTTTCATGTACTTCAGTTTGCTATTTCAGTAGCTAAACAATATGAATATAGGAATAACAAAAGATCGTACAAATCTAAACATATTGAAATTTTTCCTTTCAGTTTGAATTATTTGAAATATATTAACAATTAAATTACTAACTTATCTTATCACGTTTCTATGACTGCCTAGTACTATAAAAAACATAAAATAAATATCCAACACTAGTAAGATTTGGTACAAACAGCATGGGAATAAATAAAAAACTGAACGTTTAATTTTAGAAAGCAAACATATCAATAGGCTATGATTTCAAATCTTATTACAGATATTACATGCCTATCCAAGAATGTATAAGTATTATAACAAACAAAACATTAGTTATTTTTAATTATATAATTTTTATAAGAATTTATTTCAGATGCAAATAAACAACTTTTAAAACAGGTAGCATTACTTTAACTTATACTCCTATTTTTTAAAGTTTTGGCTTATTAACTCAGTAATAGTATTGTTAATATATCACAAAATTATTAACAATAGCAAAGAAGAAGGCATTCTAAAAGACTCAACATTCGCCTACTATTCGTATGGCTGTTTTTGTCTGTTTTTGTAATTAAGCACAAAGCTACACAATGGGCTATCTGTGCTCTGCCCACCACGAGTATAGAAACCCGGATTCTAGCGTTGCAAGTCCGCAGACATACCGCTGTGCCACTGGGGGGGCGCTATTCGTATGGATATAGAATTGTGCACTACAATGCTCTAAGGTTAAACGGTTTACTATGAAACATTAACATATTTTAATATATATATGGGACAAACAAACTTTACCAGAACTATAATTATATTCATATAGTGCTCTAGCGATTTCTATTGTTTGACATGTTCTTTGTTCTACAATTCGGTAAAAGTAATGCTCATTACAGTCCACTTAACGAAAAGGAAAGCGTTTTATTTCTTCAACTGAAAGTTTACAATTTACATAGTTTCATGAAGAACCAATATTCAAGTGATAGGCCTAACCAACAAATGCCACTAATCACTTGTTTGTTAAGTTTTCTCTCGTATCTGCGGTAATAACTCAAAACCGGCAGACTAACAAAACTAATTAACTCATTAATCAGTCGATCACGGTTGTCGACGCATTGACTAATTCGCTTTTTAATTAACTCATTGATTAACTTTGGCGTTTTTATACAATATTATTTTTTACTAACTCTCAGGACATATCCTGATGGTTAAGGTGCTCGACTCGTAATCTGAGGGTCGTGAGTTCGAATCCCCGTAGCCGAACGTGTCCGTCCTTTCAGCCATGGGGGCATTATACTGTGACGTTGAATCCCACTATACGTTGGTAAAAAAAGTAGCCCAAGAGTTGGCGATGGGTGGTGTTGACTAGCTACCTTCCCTATATTTTGTCACTGCTTAGTTAAGAACGGCTAGCACAGGTAGCCCTCCTGTAGCTTTGTGCAAAATTCAAAACAAACAAAGCCTTACTCTCATAAAAATGTAAAACTTCACGGGAAATTTTGGTCTTCACAATCATCAGTGTGTGTTGCCAAAACTCTGTAGTAAACAATACAAAACGTCCAAACTAAAATATAGAAAACATAGCTTACTACAGTACTTTTTAACGTATATATATATATATATATATATATATATATGGTAGTTAATACGCTTGGCGATTGCTAACAAACACGTTGAAACGTAAATCCAAACAAAATACTGACTTCAATTTTTGACATTCAGAATATTGTCACATGCACAACTAAGCCTCGCGGAATCTTCGAGTCTTGCAAGTGTCGTAAGAAACATTGAACGATAAAGTATTTCAATTTTTGGAGGTTTAAATTTTATACACAAATATTTTTATTTTTATTTTGTAGGCAAGATCGAAACAGTTGAATGAACTTTTTATCTTGTTAGGTTTGTTCTCTGTAAACAAAAGAACCTGGATAAATGAGCTCAGAGTTATCATTCAAACTAACACAAAAGGCTATATATACATAGTTGTTTTTAGAGGGAAGACAACTAGCTAACTGCACCCACCGCTAACTTTTAGCCTAGTCTTGTCTGACAATAGTGGGATTTGACTGTCACTTTTTGGAAAGTGTTTTTACGACAATGGGAGGCGAACCGTAGAGCTCTAGATTCACAGTTCAGACAGGCTCATCACTAAATACTTTGGTGAATTACTTCTGGACACATGGACCTTTACAATCTTCAGATAGGCCTTTTTCTATGTCTAGATTCATGAACACTTAAACACCTGAAATATTACGTTTTAGTCGTATATTCAAATCCCATAAATATTTAGACAAACTTCTTTTCTATTGTCGGGCTCCTGGATGTTTAAATATTTAGATGAGTTTTTCTTCTAATCATTATGGAATAAAAGAACACTTTTTATAGCTTAGACTAATTAATTCATAGACTTCAGATAATTTTTCATATTAGTATGAAAACTAATAGTCCTTTTAGCATTCAGAATTACCATTTTCTAATGCCTATAGTGTAATGGATTCATAAACATTAAGAAGATTTACATTAGAGTGAATAATCTATATAATAAGGATTAGTGTCTGTTTATCACTTAACTCCTCCTAAACCGCTGGTCGTACCGACTTCTAATCGTATCAATCGAATTGTCTCGGTCCCAAGGTTTGCACAAAGGTAAAAATTTTACCTTTCACTTACGAAAACGCTTTTACGGAGATTCCCGGAAAGCGTACCCCAAATTTGACATTGATTTACATTAGAGCACGTAAATAGGCAGGCTTACTAATTACCGTTCGTAACTTGGTTAAAGATATTAAATTTACATTATAGCGGCAACGATCATTAAACTGAAAAAATTCAAAACAGTAGTTCAACATTATCTTTATCTGTGTGTGTGTCACGTAACTCCTCCTAAACCGTTAGTAGCACCGACTTCTAATTGGTACCAAACGAATCATCTCGGTCCCAAGGTTTGGACAAAGGTAAAAATTTTCACTCCACACTTTGGGGAACCCGGATATTTCTCGAAAACCCCTTTTCCTAAACTGCTGGACTCATCAACTTCTAAGTGGTGCCAAACGAAACGTTTCGGCCCCGAGGTTTGCACAAAGGTAAAACTTTTCACTCAACTCCTTAGAGAACACGGATATTTCGCGAAATCATTTACGGGGATTTCCCGAAAGCAAAACACAAATTTGGCATTGATTTACGTTACACCACGTAAATAACTTGGTTATAGAAATTAAATTTTCATTATAGCGGCAATAATCGTTAAGCTGAAAATTGTTCAAGTATTAAATTTGCATTATAGAGGCCCTGTAAATGTGGATCTTAGGCACACGTGTTTGCTAGTATCTAAATATTGTTCAAATTATCCTGTGCTACGACATACAATAGGATGGTAGCGTATGGAATGATCAAACATGTTTTAATATTTTTTGAACAACTTTCATCTAAGGTAAGTACTTTGAACTTTTTATAGTTACAAAGTAGATATTTCAGGAAATCTCTCTTTGTTGACTTCAACCAATGGGAAATTATAGACGCCAAATATACCGTAAAATAAACACAGGTCTATGATCTTTTATAAGTTGCGACTGCTTTACGATGAATGGCCGAGAATAATTAGGCCCAGTGAGGGACCGTCTTACCCCACACTAATACCCATTTTCTTTTGCGCCCTTGTCATAGATAATGTGCAACTTGTGTATAGCTTTCCCGATCCCCGCGAGCATTTAAATAATGATTTCAGTGATTTATATACATTTTCTAAATAAAGCATTTATTTTAAATGGCATTTGCCATGAGTTAGAAGAGAGTCATGTTATTCCGTCTTAGAGGTCCGTTTTATCCAACCTTATAGGTAAAACGGCCCAACTACAAGAAGTGCAATTTTACTCTATATAAAAAAGGTCTATGTCCAATCTTTGTTTTAACCAGAAACAACATTTATAGTACTAAGGGCTCATTTTAAAACGTATTGATTTTTTTCATGCCATTCATATTACATGGTAAAAATCGCACTCATAGAAGTGGCCGTTTTGCCTTACCTTCTACTATTGAAAGATATCCATTTTCTGATGCCTAAAGATATCGTTAACAGCGAGTGTACCCGACTGATGAAGCAACACATTCTAATCTTGTAAGTAGAAACATAAAGGTATATTCAATCAGTTATACAGATGTCCAGGTTGATTTTTAGTTTCGCTTTAAGTACGTAGCTTACTCTGATCGGAAATTATTATTATTAGTCATTTTTAACAATCATACTACTAAGAAATAGCTTTTAAATAAACTTTTGCCACTTAGTAGCAGAATGAAAATTTTCTGATAGTACGTAAAAACAAAAACTCTATTTCGGTGGATAGATTTCTTGGAATCTTACATTAAGATGTATATATCGATCTTTTTGTACAAAGGTTAAAGCGTCATAAACCATAACGGAGATTTTGGTGTTTCAGGATATACAGAAAAATTTACGTTTTTTGTTTAGGTCTTAGTAAATATTTATAAAAATATTTCGCTACAATCGCAATGGTTAAAAAAGAGACTTTTGGTATGAACTGACGCCATAGATATGTTACAATGTATGTTAACGAAAAGTAAAATGTCTATTTATTTCAGCAGACCATATAGAGATTCTGAGACAAATAAGAACGTGAAAAACATACATTAGTGCAAGTTAAGTAAAGGTAATTCCAATACGAGTGTTTGCAGTTTATGTTAAGGATTTTGCTATGGTGGTGTTAATAAAGTATATGATGATTTGTTGTATTTGACAGTCTCGCCCAGTTTCATCTGTGCAGCGAGAGCGCAAGTCACCAAACTTGCCTTCTTTTAATGGCACCCAAGAAAACTTCTCTAACTGGCTTCAAGTTCCTCACACTAGAGTGCGCCGCCACCGCTCCCTTCCTGATCCTCATGCAATATGTGCTCGAAAACACCAACAACTCCAACTCCCTCTACATCAACACAGGAGCGCTTCGATGAGACTTCCGGTACGTAACCTACAATTTATGTTTATTAATCAAACTATACACCAGTAAAAGTAATTGTTTATAAGACGTAGTTAGCACATACATAGAAAAAGTAGTGTAGACTCGAATAAAAAATTGTTCCCAAAAAATGTTCAAAGTAATCAATCAGCACAAGATCCCCTCTTATAATCACGCCGTACTAATACTTCATCGGATTTGTATTTTGTACTTATTACTTAATGAATAAGAACTTCCGATCGAAACAAATTACCTACTTAATATTATGTCGTATATTAATATTAGTCCGGGAATGCCATCAATTGGAAACATGTCAATCAAGTAATTTGTAAATCATTCATTTAAGCTTTACTTCAATGAGGGAAAAAATTGAAAAGTAATTTTATTTAGAAAATCGGTAACTAAATTAAAGACGTAAACTATAAACGCATAACGCACCTAAAGAAATTCACTAACAACAATGAATATGTCACGGATAAGAAAGAAGTTATTGAGTATATAGATCATTTACAGAGTATACATGTCATCACTCTCATCCAATGAAGTAGCTAACAACTTTGTTTTCATTTGTAATACAAATCAGAACAAAAAATCTCAAAATGAAGCTTAAAAAAAATTAACCATTACCAGTCCTTGTCATTACCATTAATTCATAATGGGGATATTCCATCTATCAGACATGATCCAAATGCAGATATCGTTCTAGTTAGCAGCCATAGAGAATCAATTAGGGATTAGGAGTTGAGCGCTTAAACCCACAACGTTTCAGATTCAACCGCCTTTCGCTGTCTACAGCTAGTTGATAGAAGGCGGTCACCCCCAAACTTTAGACATAAATAAGCTTTGAAGTAGAAATAAATCACCCTATATTTATACAACTTTAAGACTACCAACTTCCACCTTTTACTATGTTTGTTATGCATTTCTCGCGCAGCTACACGAGGGCTATCTGCGCTAGTCGTCCCTAATTTAGCAGTGTAAGACTAGAGGGAAGGCAGCTAGTCATCACCACCCACTACCAACTCTTGGGTTACTCTTTTACCAACGAATAGTGGGATTGATCGTCACATTATAACGCCCCCACGGCTGAAAAGGCGAGCATGTTTGGTGTGACGGGGATTCGAACCAGCGACCCACAGATGGCGAGTCGAGCACCGTTTACAATATGATGTTAAATAATACAATTATCTATTTTGGCATCAAAATAACTTGTAGTATATGCACAAATTTTAACTGATGAAATTAATACAACTAAAATATTTACCAAAAGTAAATTATATAAAAATACAGTTATCATTAATTTGAAGAAAGCTATCAAAAATAAAATATAAATATAGATTCTACTTGTTTTAAATTAAACATTTTTATGCAATTTGGGAATTGCATAAAACACCTGTTAAGTTTAGGTTTATTACAAACTCTTTAAACACCGTTACTAAATTTGTATCTGTTGTACTTAATAACATTCAAGATGTTTTATTTGAAAAAATAAAATTACTGATTAAATTATTTTTGTCATAATTTTTGGGTCATTAAAAGTAATATTCCAGTTTTTGGAATGTTTAAATATTTTATATCCTTTTAAAGCAGCTAATTCTGTTACTACTTATGATTTTACTACATCATATGATAGATTAGATTTGTAAGGTTTAATTAGAGTTTCTAATGATGTAGTTGATCAATTTATAGATACTTAAATAATTATTCTTAAACTTAAATTCAATAAATATTGCCCCCCCCCCAGTGGCACAGCGGTATGTCTG